ATATGTGGAAAGTAAACCTCACACTCTTAAAATAATCCACGGGTCAAAAAAGAACTCACTAAGAAAATTAGAAAAAAAAAAAAACACCTCAAAATGAATGAAAATGGAAACACAACCTACCAAAACTTGTGGGATGCAGCCAAACAGCACGTATAGAGAAACTAGTAGCAATAGATCAGCCTGTGTTTTTACAAAGAAGAAACAAGTCAAATAGAGAACTTGACTACTTTTTTTCAGTACTGAGTAATAAGCCCAGGGTCTCTCATACATACTAGGAAAGGGCTCTACACTGAACTATATCTCTGGTCCTTTTTCACTTTTGTTTTATATCAAGACAGGGTTTGGCTTAGGTACTGAGACTGTCCTCAAACTTGTGATCTTCCTGCTTTAGTTTCCTGAGTACCTGGGATTACAGATGAGCCCTTCCATGCCTGGCTGAGAATTAACCTTTTAACTTAACAAAAATAAGAGACATAAAACAGAAATAAGGAAATATAATAAAGACTGGGATACAAGGAAATGAAATCTAGAATTGGAAACATTAGAGAAAATCAACAGGGCTGGGAATGTGGCTCAGGCGGTAGCGCGCCCGTCTGGCATGCGTGCGACCCGGGTTCGATCCTCAGCACCACATACCAACAAAGATGTTGTGTCCGCTGAAAACTAAAAAATAAATATTAAAAAAAAAAGAGAAAATCAACAAAACCAAAAGTTGATATCCCAAAATATCAATACAAATGACTAAAGTACTTGACTTACCCAGATACCAAATCTAAACAAAGGTATCACAAGACCAAAAAAACACAGATGGATATCCCTTTTAAATATAGGCACAACATTTCTCAACAAAACATTTACAATTTGTATTTAAAACAAACAAACTACATGCCATAGCAAGATATTCATCCCAGGAATTCAAGTTTCATTTAACCTACAAAAATACAATCCATCGGGGCTGGGATTGTGGCTCAGGGGCAGAGCACTTGCTTAGCACATGTGGGGCATTGGGTTTGATCCTTGGCACAGCATACAAAAAAAAAATAAGCAAATAAAATAAAGGCATGCTGTCTATCTACAATTACAAACAAAAAAATTTTTTAAATGCAATCCAAATAATACATTATAGTTAAAACAGTAGAGGATGAAAAAAAAAAGGCTCAATGGACATAGAGAAAGCATTTGACAAAATCCAACAAACGAGGAGTAGAAGGAAATATGATAATGACCATCTATGATAAACCCACAGCTAACAACATACTTAATGACAAAAGATTATTTTTTTCTGCCAGATGAAGTGGCATGTGCCTGTAATCCCAGCAGCTCAGGAGGCTGAGGCAGGAGGATCAAGAGTTCAAAAGCCAGCCTCAGCAATAGCAAGGCGCTGAGCAACTCAGTGAGAAACAAAATGCACCATGATTGAAAAGGAAGAAGTAAAACTCCTTCTATTCACATATGGCATGATTTTATATTTAGGAAATCCTAAAGATTACAAACACACACAATTAGAACCAATAAACGAGTAAAATTGTAAATTACAAGATAAATGTACAAAGATCAATTGTATTTTTATACACTAGCAATGAGCAATCTGAAACCTAAATTAAGAAATAATTCCATGTAAGACCGTATCAAAAACAATTTTTAAAACTTAGAAATAAATTTAACAAAAGAAGAAAAATGCTTGCACACTAAGAAGTATAAAACACTGAAAAAAATCAAAGATCTAAATACATGAAAATATATCCCATGTTCATGGACTGTAAGACTTAATATTAGGGACCGGGCTTATAGCTCAGTCAGTGGTAGAGCACTTGCCTAGTATGTGTGAAACACTGGGTCTGATTCTCAGCACCTCAATAAATAAATAAAATAAAGGTCCATCAACAACTAAAAAAATATATATTTTATACAAAGACTTAATATTATTAAGATGATAATATTCCCTAATTATCACTTTTGTTTTATTTCAATACAATCACTCTCAGAATCCCACCTGGTTTCACTGCAAACATTGATAAGCTGACCCTAAAATTTGTATGGAAAAGAAAAGAGACCCACATTAGCCAAAACAATCTTTAAAAAGAAAAATACAGTTGGAGAGATCACAGGTTTCAATTTCAAATTTTACTACAAGCTACAATAATCAAAACAGTGAGGTTACAAGCAGGAGACAGACATACAAATTGACAGAATAGAACTGAGAGCCCACAWATAAACCATCACATTTTTGGTCCGTTGATTTGTAACAAAGGTGCCAAGACAACTCAATAGCAAAAGAATGGTCTTTTCAACAAATTATGCTGGGAAAACTAGATATCCACATCCAGAGAATGAAGGTGGATTTTTACCTCACACCATATTCAAAATGGCTCAAAATTGGATCAGACCTAAATGTACAAACTAAAACTATAAAACTCTTATAAGAAAACACAGGAATAAATCTTTGTAAATTCACACAACAAAAACACAGGTGACAAAAGAAAAAGAAATATATTGGACTTCACATTTTAAAACATTGTGCTTCAAGGGGACACCCACAAGACCGTGAAAAGATAATTCACAGAATGGGAGAAAGTACTTACAAATATACACCTGATAAAGGGCTTACACCCAGAATATATAAAGAACTCTTACAATGCCACAATAAAAAAATAATAATAATAATAACCCAGTTTTTTAAAGGGCAAAGAATTTAAATAGGTAATTCTCTAAAGAAAATATATAAGGGATCAATAATCACAAAGATGCTCAAGATCAGTAGTCAGTGGGAAAACCAAAACCACTGTGAGCTAACACTTCACACCCACTAAGAATCAGGACAGACAATAACAAATTTTGTTGAGTGTGTGGGATCCTCATACATGGTTGACGGGAATATAAAAAGCAATACAATCACTTTGGAAAATGGTATAAAATTTTCTCAGTAGGTTAAACATATACTTACCACACAACCCAACAACTCTACTCAGAGGCATATATGCAAGAGAATAAAATCCTATGTGTACACACACACACACACACACACACACGCATAAAACTGTACACAAATATTCACAGTCGCATTATTCATAATAGCTAAAAAGTAGAAATAACCCAAAGACCCAACTGATGATGGATAAACAAAATACCATGTATTGCTACAATGGGTTATTGTTTAACCATAAAAAAGGAATGAATAACTAGCCGGGTATGGTGGCACATACCTGTAATCCTAGAGGCTGAGGCAGGAGGATCAAGAGTTCAAAGCCAGTCTCAGCAATAGCAAGGCGCTGAGCAATTCAGTGCGACCCTGCCTCTAAATAAAATACAAAATAGGGCTGGGAATGTGGCCCAGTGGTTGAGTACCCCTGACTTCAATATCTGGTACAAAAAAAAAAAAAAAAAGGACCAAATAACTGAGACATGCTACAACACAGATGAACCTTGGAACGGCTAACCTAAAGAAGCCAGATAACAAAGAACACAGTTGTCCATGCCTATTGGCGTCAAATGTCCAACACAGACAAATCTATAGAGACAGAAAGTTGATCTTGAGTTTCCAGGGATTGATTGCAGGTGGGAGTGGAGAAGGTATGGGAGTCCTTTTAATAGTAATGGTGGAGATAACTAACAACTGTCCTAAAATGGATTGTAATGATGGTTATACAACCTGGGAATATATAAAAGCCACGGCATTGTACACTTGAAGAGGGTGAATTTTATGGTACATATTATACCAAATCAAAACCATCATTAGGAGAGGAAAAGAAAAGAAAAGTTGGAGGGAAAGAAGTTTGGGAAATGCGGTTCCCTATAACATCAAGACCACAAGGACAGAGTGAGCACTTGCAATTTTATGTTGCCTTGACATTGTTGTTTTTGTTTGTTGTTGTTTGTTTTGTTTTGTTTTGTTTTTCTGCACTGGGGATAGAGCCTAGAGGCACTTACCCACTGAACCACTCCCCAGCTCTTTTTATTTCATTTTGAGACAGGGTCTCCCTAAATTGCTGAGGCTGACTTTGAACTTGCGATCCTCCTACCTCAGCCTCCCGAGTTGCTGGGGTTGCAGGTGAGCACCACCACGCCCTGCTCTTGGCAACATTTTAAAATAAAAGTTTAACTTTCTCATACCAGAAGTGAAACTCAAGTTACCCTCAACTCGTCCGTCCCCACCGGAATGGCCCTAGCTGGCGGCTACCGATACAAACCCAAAGGCACTTCTACTTTTATTTGCAGTTTGTTTTAAACAGACCATTGAGACATTTGCTCAGGACCTGATGTGACCACCTCAGAGTCACAGCATGACCTGTGTGACTGCTTCCTTTAAACCTGCCAATTAAAGATCTCTGTAGGAAACCAGTTTGGATGATACCCTGGAATCCCAAAAGGATCCCGGACCCACCAGTCCCCTGGTTCTCCGTTGGAGCTCAGTGGGCAAGCACACCAGCTCCCTCCCTTCCCCCCAGGATCTAATAAACACGAAAACTCTTAAACTTTCACTTTGTGGTTAGGTTGTTGCAGCTTTTCCTGCAGTGTGACCCCTGATGGCAGGGCCACCTGAGGGACCTCACGCAGGTGATATAGGTGGTTCCTCTCTCCTGGCTCCTGGGACAGTAGCTCCTGGCTGAGCTGATAATGAAACTCAAAAAGTTTCATTCAACCCAAAGGGAAAAATGGGGACACACCCCCTGACTCCTACCCTCTGCCCACAGCCTGACATGTGATACCCTGGCTATAAACCTGTGCTGGATTAACCAGGAGCCCCTCACCGAAGCTCTGCCAGGGGGCACAAGGGGCTTTTCGAATGTAAATGACCTGATGATTCAGGATCTTATGACCAGTGAGGGGGGCTGTCACTCTGTCACCTTTCTCAGACCCTTTGTCCCCAGAAAGCTCTAAGGGGCCCTAATGAGGCTTGGAGGGAGGAGCAGGGGTGGGAGGGGCGGGCAAGAGGGAGGGGTGGGGAAGAGGGAGGCTCCTCTCACAACTTAAAAGGGGCTCTTACCATTTCCTCCCCAGACAGGGGTAGCTGAGACTGGGGCACAGCCTTCCTGTGTGGTTTCAGTCGCCGGAGAGTGTCATGGACCTGGGTGAGTAAACCTCCCTGTGAGACAAAACGGGGAATAGCACCGGGGTCCCAGACCCCAGGCAGACCTAGTGGAGTCGGGGTAGGGTGGAGGGCATGAGGAGCTGCCGCGGGAAATCAGGAGGTTTGGTGGGCATTGGTGGCTACTTCCAGAGAATGACACTCTGGAGTCCCAGGGAGGGTGCACCTGCCCTTTCAGACCCAGGAGAGCAGGCAGCCATTGGGGCCAGGAAGGACCAGGGGGGCCAGGAAGGACCAGGGGGGCCAGGAAGGACCAGGGGGGCCGAGGGGGTATCTTTCTAAAATAGCAAGGAATGGAAAACTCAGCAAGGTGGGGCTGGGTGGGTGACCTGGATGGAACCTGTTCTTATGAGGTCCCCTGAGACCTCGGGGACCAGTTTCAGCAGGGGGAAATCCTCCTTGGAGGGCTCAGGACCTTTCCCCCTCTTCTCAATGCTTTCCCTTCTCCCCTACTCACTGGGAGTCTGGATCCCAGTGCTGCCGGGTTCTGAGAAGTAGTCAATCACAGGTGACTGTGTTGTGTGCACGGTGCGGTGCAAAGCAGGCGTGGTCTGCGGTGCTTTCTTTCTGCTGTGCAATCCATGGGCTTTGCACCAGCTCTGCCACTTGCCTCTTGCAAGTTCAGGGATAAAAATGGAAGAGCTGGTGACACTCAGCTTAGAGAAGCCATAGCCAGCCCTCCAGCACGGCCCCTGTCCCTGATCAAACCCCCCCTTACTCCAGCCAGATAGACGCCTCTGGGCTGTAGAAAGCCCTTCTTCTGGTCTAACCTGGGTCTTGACTAGAGAGGATACAAAGGGAGCCCCAAGTGGCTGCTGAGTGGGTCTTCCAGCCCCAGACACCCCAGTTGTCAATCTCAGCTGCAGAGTCAGTGCCGCCTGAAGCAAAGAAGGCCAGGTTCTTAGATGGCTCGCCACACCAGCAAGGGAAGCGGCCTCAAAGCCACAAGAGGTTGGCTTTAAAAAGTGAAGGTTCCTTGGTGCTGTCCTCACACCCTCCCCGCCACACCACAGCCCTTGCCTCCTCTCTGCCTTCCCCACCCACCCTGAATCCTCGGTCTGGACCCAGCCGACAGCTGTGGAAGGGGTACAGTGGTCCCCCCATCCACAGCCTGTGAACTCCAGTATCTTGCATCTCTGCCTCCTGGGTGCTTTGGGGATTAAGTGGCAAATGTTTGTGGAATGGATGGACGGATGGATGGACGGATGGATGGACGGATGGATGGACGGATGGATGGATGGATGGATGGATGGATGGATGGATGGAATGAATCAAGAACTTCAAGTGGAGAAAATCTCTTCTAACTTCTCTTCCCAGTCAGCCTGCCCCCTAAACCCACTCCATAGAATCCAAATGTGCCAGCCACAATTCCCGAGCGCCCACACCACCCGCTGGCCATGGCTTCCCTGTGTTGGCCACCATGCCACTAAATGTTCGAAAAGCAGCTCCCCTGGAGGAGGAGTCTAAGCTGGTCAATTTCCATAGTGTGACTTCTCCTGCCCTGCTTGACCCCAGGCAGTCAGCTGTGACTTCTTAAGGCACAGAGGGATGCTCTCACCACTGGCTCCAGAGCATCTAGGAGCATCCCCCTGGACTAGGTTTGGGGACACTAGACCCCTGGGCCTGGACACAGGAGGGATGGCAGCCCCTGGTCCTGGAGGAAGTGATGTTCTTGCTTCCTCACTCAACCTGAGAGAGAGCCCCAACGGCCAAMCCCGAAATCTGGGTCTGAGGAGAGGCCTCTGAGAAGCTGTGCTCAGAACGGGCTCTGGGCCGTTGGAAGGGCGGCTGGGCCACAAAGGGTCTGTTTTTCGATATTCGTCTGCCCAGGAGGGAGCCAGAGAGGTAGATGAGGAGGCACAGTTTCTGTTACACAAAATGAAAACGCCACTTGAAGGCTGAGCCGGACTTTTTCGCGGCCTTTTTTTCGCAGTTTGAATGAGCAACCCTTTCACCCTCCCCACTGTTAGAATTCTCAAAAGCAGAGAAAAGAAAATTGACCTGCCACAGACTTGGGTGTCACAGCGTGGCCCTACGTGGTGTTGGTGGCGAAGGAAGACGCTAAAGGAATTCAGGGACCATCCTTCCTCTCTTCCCTCAGAGGGGAGAGCTACCTCCTGGGTGGCTATGGAAAAACCTCTCTCTTTGCCAGGTGCTTTCTTTCAGTCAACTCTCACTGATTGAGGAATCCAGGGAAAGCCAGTCAGGTGAGGAGAGAGACATATATGTCAACACTCGACGGTAGCAGAGTGAGAGAGAGCATTAATGGGGATAAGGACCAGAGGGCATTTAAGTTGGGTTTTGAAGGATGTGGAGGAGTTGTCGAGCCAAATGAGGACAGGGTCCAGGATATGGCAGGGACATCAAACTCACTGCCATCAGAAGCCAATAAGGTAACTAAGATAGAAGGCATAAGATCTAGGAAGGAGAGGGGGGTGGAGTGAACCCAGCACTGCAGGCCTCCCCTAAAGACATCCACATCAAATAGTGTTAGAGCCCCCTGCAGCACTCAGAAGACCCTGGGAACTCAGGGCTCAGGAGCGGTCAACTCTGGCAAATGCAATAAAGGCAAGAAAGAAGCAAATGGAGGGAGAGTAAAGGTACCGTCCGACCAATACTTACCACTTTGTGTGGCATCACTGAGAAGTTCGCGCTTTATCTTGAAAACAGTTGAGGAGGCAGTGAAGATTTTTACTTCTCAATGAGGTGAACTAAGGGACTAGATTTGTGTTTTGGAAAGAGCTGCAGAACCTTCTATCAGACAGGACCAGTTCTGAGAGATTATGGCGAATAGAAGCAACTGAACAGCCAAGTGTGGTGGCGCACGCCTGTGATCCCAGCCACCCAGGAAGGTGAGGCAGAAGGATCGCAAGTTCAAGGCCAGCCTCAGCACCTTAATGAGATCCTGTCTCAAAATATTTAAAAAAAAAAAAAATGGAAAGGGATGGGGAGGTAGCTCAGTGGTAGAGCATCCCTGGGTTCAATCCCTAGGACCATTAAAAAAAAAAAAAATAGAAGCAAGAGAACTGCATGACCAATGGTTACAGAGAGTGGAGGTTGCCTTCATGCTCCACAGAGGGCCACATACCCAGCAGGCACATCAGGAATGTGGCATGATGCAGTGGTGAGAGCCCAAACCTGGCTATGCCATTCACATCTCAGATCCATCTCTGAGAAGGCAGCTGTGTGCCACCAGACAAGTAGCTTAACCTCTCTGGGAGTCTGTTTCCTGGAACGTAGAATAAGAATCACAGGGAAAACCTTACAATATATTGTGAGGGAGAGATACATAAAGACTAGGAGGTAGCACACCAAAAAAAAAAAAAAAATGATTTCCAGAGTCAGAAGGTTCAAAGCCCAGCTCCACCACTAGCCATTCAGGTGACTCTGGGAATGCTACTACTAATCTTGCTGTACTGTTTCTTCATTGGCAAGTGGGGACGATAGCGGTGCCAATCTCTCAGGGCTTTTGCAAGGATGCAATGAGACCTCACAGGTAGGCGGTTTCATTGGCTAAAGCAGAGAATAGAAGTGACTCTCTCCTGTCCCTGCCTGTGTAGAACGGGTCCTCCAGGCTTCCTATCTCCTCTCTAGATCCTTGGGGCTTTCCTGCTTCTGCCCTCCCACTCCCCCACCCAGGAAAGAACAATTCCAGAGAGGAAAAAGATGGGGAGGCTCTGGGGCCAGATAATGGGCAGCCAGGAGTCCTGGGCAGCCTGGAAGGTCTGGGAAAACTTGGGAATGGGGTAGGAAGGAGCCAGTAACCTTCTCCTCCCAGACTGGAGGTTTCTCAGGACGGGGGGGGGGGGGGGGGGCCCCCGGGGGGGGGGGGGCTCCAATTGGAGTTCTAGGGAAGTTTACACTCATGATGCTCATTACTGGAAACTCAGGAACTCAGAAAACACCCAGCATCTAGGTCAACTGCTCCTCAACCTCCCCGAGAGTTCCAGCGCCATTGGTGCCACCCAAGTTGCTGCCCCAAACCAGTCGCTTTATGACTTTTAACAGACAGGAGTGATCTGACTCGTGGCCGCTGACCTGATCCCTGGGCCACACACCAGAATTCCCCTAAGTTCCCCTATTAACTTTCCTGAAAATGGTCCGTCCTGGACCAACAGGACGCCTGCTTATCCCCCAGGCCCAACACACTTGGAGTGTGAAATCACCCACGTACAAGGGCCAGGACCCCCATCCCCTGTCCCCCACCCCCCCACTCCATAGTAGCAAAAGGAATGGGACGGGGCCCAGGAAAAGGGCAGCCAGAGTAAAACAGAAACAGCACTTGCTCCTTGTGTTTCACCTCTTGTGGCTGATCAAAACTTTGAGGTTTCTCGTTCTCGGTGACAGTCAGAGCGGGCTTTCTCTAGAGTAACCGAAAGACTTTGACGTGTTTAAAGAAACCTCGAACGCTGAGCATCAAGATGAGTCAGGGAGGGTAGGCGGTGCACTGGACCCTGGAGAGAGTGTGGTTAGGCGGAGACATGTGGCCTCAAGCTCAGGGGTTCCAGAGGTCATTCAATAAGAAAGGGGAGGGAGAGATCAGAGCAGGATGCCACACGGAGACCCATGCCCACCAGGACTGTAGATGCTCAGGCACGAGTGGGGGACAAGGGGACAGTGAGTTCCTATCCCCAGTATTCAAAGATGCAGCTAGGAAGGCATGTCCAAATACACCTGGCTTGACTGCCATGGTAAGCACCAGGAGCTTTATCCTTAGGGCTGGGTAGAGCCCATGGGAAGACACCATGGGGGTTGGCATCAGAACTATGCTTTAGGGACAGGCATGGTGGTGCACACCTCTAATCCCACAGGTTCTGGAGGCTAAGGCAGGAGGATCGCAGGTTCAAAGCCAGCCTCGGCAACTTAGCAAGACCCTGTCTTAAAATTAAAAAAAAAAAAAAATTAAAAGGCTGGGTATGTGGCTCAGTGGTTAAGCACCCCTGGGTTCAATCCCTGGTTCAAAAAAAGAACTATGCTTTAGGAACCGTGTCTAGCAGTAACATGCAGGATACTTTTATTGAGGTGGGAGGAATATTTTCTTATCTATGTGACCAGATGCCCTTCCTCCCTATCCTAGGAACTCCCAAGCACAGAATCCCCAGCCACAAGCCCTGTGCCTGGAGCCCCTAACTGCAACCTGGGTGTCATGCAGGAGTGCTCCAGCAGGTGGTGCTGTGGCCAAGGACACAGACCCTCGGGGCTTGGTCTGCTTCCCTAACCTCCAGAGGGCCCTCCGTCTCCAGAAGATGCCTGGAGCAGGGTCCCAGGCATTTCTGGTCCCTACTGAGACTGGAGCAGCAAATGCCCACGGGTCCTGCCTGAGTGTTTACAGGTGCTATCACAGTGACTTTCCTGTGGGTCAGACCCTGGCTGGGAACCGAGAGTCAGGGGACAAGGGGGAATTCCAGGGGTAAAGAAGGCACAGCTGGTGCCTTGGGGGTGTTCCCAGCCTGCTGGTGGGATGACACTTCTACATAAATGGCTCTGTCAACTGTCCTCCCTGCTCAGCCTGCAGGAGGAAATATGCTCTAAGGCTCGGCCACAAGGCCAATGAGTAGGTGTCCGCAGCATATCCAGGCCCTGTGCCTCTCCATCTGCTGCTCAGAACCAAGGAGCGCCTCCTGACCTCCACAGCAGGTTCCATTTTCCTGCCACCCCCACCCCTATCACCCCACCCCACCCACGGGGGGGGGTGGAGGGGGGACTGGCACTGCTCCCCTCCTACCAAGCGCCCGAGGCATTAGATGAGAGAACAAGTGAAAGAAAATATACACAATTCTAGAAAAAGAAATATAATTACATCATAAAATAGTGCCCACCCGTCCCCCGGGTGTCCTCTCAGACCCTAGATGCTCCCTCCCTTGGGAGGACAAGCAGGGCATTCATCCATTCATTCACAGGCACACAATTCCTGGGCTTGCACCAGGTAAGAGGGAAGGGATTCCTGCCCCAAAGGTAGGCTCAGGGGACCAATAATCACTGCCAAGTAAATGTCAGTGAATGAAGAAGTGTTAGGGGGCCAGCGGGTCCTTACAGCACTCCCCTACCATGGAAAGGCAAGTGACGGAACCTCATTCCTCCAGCCTGTCCTGTGAAACCCCCTATTTCCTCGGCCCACCTGGCCAGGAAACACTCGAGGCTTCATGTGAGGCTGCTCACTCAGCTGAATACCAAGAAATGCTCCCTGGACCAAGGGACCCTGGCACCGAAGTAGGGCAGGACTGTGTGCACACTCCGGGGGCCTTGCCTTCTCTTCCTGCCTCACACTCACTGGGAGGCGCCACAGAGACCCTGGAGTCAGGCTCAGATGGAGTAAAGGAAGTCCAGAGAACATCTGGGACTCTTGGGGGGAGGGGTTGGGCCCTATCCCCCCAAGACCACCCTGGGGACTTGAGGGACAGTCAAGTTTCTGGTAAACTCTCCAACTCCAGAAGAAGCCCAGCTGGGCCAGGGTCAGTGGTGGGAAGCGCCTGCCCCGTGTTCTAATCCTGGACCTGGGAGTGGAGGAAGGAGAGGTGAGGACAGGGATGCCGGGCAGCAGGCCAGGTGTTCAAAAGCACAATCTGGTTCTGATGTTCTCTTTTGCAAACGCAGAGCCTGGAGCTCAGGACGAAGGTTCCCAGCAGCATCTCCTCCTCCGCTGCTTTCTTTAATAACAAAGGGTCGTCCCTGCCAAGCAATAACTTTCTTGCCTTGTCTCCTACAGGGAAACCAATGAAAAGCGTGCTGGCCGTGGCTCTCCTTGTCATTTTCCAGGTGAGGTTTCCTACCAGGGGACGCTCTGTTCCCTCCCCGACTCTCCCCTCCCAAGCCAGGAGTGCTGTTGGAGAAGCTGGCCATTTGCTAGAAAGAAATAAAAGGCCCAGACAAAAACCCACCTGCCGTTCATTAAGCTGATGACCACCCTCCTCTCCGTCTGTTGAGCAACCCTCCCCTCCCCCCAAGAGTCCCAGATGTCCTCTGGACTTCCTTTACTCCATCTAAATTAAAATATGGGGTGAAGTTATTGACCACCACCTTCCCTACCCCACCTCCAGTCTCCCCACCCAAGAAACACAGATTGAGCTCTTGGAGAGAGAAGAACCGAAAAACTTTCTTCTCCCACTGGTTCTGCACAGGATCCCTGTCCTCACCTGGTTTTGCACATATGTGCACACAGGGAAGATGCCATGTGTGAGCAGAGAAAAGAAACTTTGGTCTGGTGACCCAGTTACTATTCTATCCCCCTCTCCCTTCAGTCCAAGGCTTCCCTAGAAGCCCCACTCTCTGTCATGAAACTGAGACCCATCTGGCCCTGCCGTGAGGACAGGGATGAAAGATGGGGCCCAGACAATGTGGGGGAGGGTGGATGGAGCAAGCACCCCACAGGGGCTTGAACTCTGCAGGAGCAAAGATCCCCAACTTGCGGGTTTCCACTCCTCAGTCCCACCAACTGCAGCAGAAGATGCACCCCATCAAGTGCCAGAGTCAGGAAACTCCTTGAGTTTCCTCTGTTTGTCGGGTGGGAGCGCTCTAGGGCTTGGGGAATAAGCCGGCTCCTCCGAGGCCACTCTGGAGAGGCAGTGCTTCAGAACTGGGCTCTTCCCCAGGTCTGGTGGCCAGAGGGGAAGCTTTCCAGGAGCTCAGGCCAGAGGCAGGCCCCAAGCTGGGCACTGTTCCCAAAACCCCATCCCAAAGGCCCCCCCGGAGCTTGGACGGCAGCCCTCAACCTGGCCCCCTTCCCCATCTCTACTGCCTCCCTCCCTCTGCCCTGTGCTGCTGGCTGGAAGGCTGGGGAGGGGATGGAGACAGCTGTGGCTCATTCTTCTCTTTCTGGGGAGGGGTGCGGGGGGGGGGTGCGGGAGGAGGCTCAGACAGGCAGGATGTGGTGGGGCTGTGGGCTGCAGAGGCATCAAGGCTGCAGGGGGGGGGTTGTGGAGCAGGAGGACTGGGTGTGGGAGCACGTTTCACAGAGGCTGTGAGTACTGCCGTCCAAAAGGACTGAACCCCCTTAAGCCCAGGGATCCTGGACCTAAGGCCTTGTGTCTTCCTCTGGATGGGCCAAAGGCAGCCAGCTTCCTCCAGGACCCCCAGGCTGCAGCCACGCCAGGAGAACCCCATTTCACCCTCTCCTGTCCTCATCCCTGGACAGTGATGAATGCAGAATGTGGATTGTCATTGAACTGCTAAGAGCCTGGTTCCCTGAGGAAGAACCAGGAGTTTCCTGAGGCCGTTCTTCTAGAGCAGGGCCATCTATCATTGTGCACAGCGACACTGGTGCCCCCTCCTTCATTGATAAAATCACGGCAGGCTGCTGAACCTTCACCCTGTCCTGCAGACAGGCTAAAAAAAGCCTAGAGCAGCTGAGCCCTGCTGATTGGGATCTGCGTGCCGGAAGAGAGAGAGGCAGAGGGGTGGGGGGGAGAGTGGGAGCACAGAGGGAGAGTGGGAGAAGAAAGTCACACTTCCTTCCAGGGGCACAGCTGCCCACGACTCAGCCACAGCTGAAGAGCACTCCCCCCACGGGGCCCTGTCATCCAGTCATCGACTCACAGAGCTCAGTGCCCTTGGGCACGCGTTGCCTGAGCTCCTGCCGAGTGCTAGCGGACACCAAGAATCCATAAATGTCTCCAGGTTGCTCACTCACCACCTGGGATCACAGCCGTCTGCCCCAAACTTGGGGCTTCTTGTCCTCTTAACAGGAGTTTTGCCGCCTTCTCACGGCAGGTCCTCCTCAACCTTGACCCCAGGGTGGACTTTTCCCTCGAAATCCGAGGCATTTTAAAGGCCCCCTGGAAAACTCCACCAGGTTCTAAAGGAGGCTCCAGAAGAAAGACACACACACACACACACACACACACACACACACACACACACACACACACCAACCTCATGGAGTTTTCAGGGGGCAAAATTAAGGGTCCCAGAACCTGGGCTAGGTACCTCACCACTAGCATGTGCAAGAGATAGGATTCACCTCCATTTCACAGTCAGGAAAACTGAGGCTTAGTGAGAGGAAGTGCCTTTAACCAGTTCGARGCTCATTAGACCCCAAGGCCGCGACTATTTCCAGCCCACTGTTTACCCATGTGAGGCTGAGTGTCTCAGAAATGGCAAAATCAGACCCTTGATCCTGATTGGTAGAAATCTAGAATCCCGGGCCCCACCCAGCCCACCAAATTAGGGTATACCTTTGTTTTGGGGTTTGGCTTGGTTTGCGTTTTGTATCAGGGAGTGAATCCAAGGGCACTCAGGCCACACTGAGCCACGTCCTCAGCTCTTCTTCTTTTTTTTTATTTTGAGACAGGCCTCACTACACTGCTTAGGGCTTCACTCAGTTGCTGAGGTTGGCCTTGAATCTGTGATCCTCCTGCCTCAGCGTCCCACACCGCTGGGATTACAGGCATGTGCCACCATGCCAGACAGGATATCCATTTTAACAAGATCCCTAGGTAACTCATATGCATGTTAAAGTTTGAGATGCAGTGATTTCAAACCAAAGAAGTGCCTGGAGAGTTTAGGAAAAATACAGATTCCTAGGTCCCATCCCCTGAGATGCTGGTTCTCAGTTAAGGTCTGAAAATTTGTGTTTCTATCTCGTCCCAGGAGATGCTGATGACAGTCCACACTTTGAAACCACTGCTCTAAGATAAATCCCAGCCAGATTTGGACCCACCTCGCTAAAACTGAACTGTTTTCCCTTATTTCCTTCCCCACAGGTGTGCTTGTGCCAAGATGAAGTCACAGATGATTACATCGGGGACAACACCACGGTGGACTACACCTTGTACGAGTCTTTGTGCTCCAAGAAAGATGTGCGGAACTTTAAGGCCTGGTTCCTCCCCGCCATGTACTCAGTCATCTGCTTCGTGGGCCTGGTGGGCAATGGGCTGGTGGTGTCCACCTACATCTATTTCAAGCGGCTCAAGACCATGACAGATACCTACCTGCTCAACTTGGCCATGGCAGACATCCTCTTCCTCCTGACCCTTCCCTTCTGGGCCTACAGTGCAGCCAAGTCCTGGATCTTCGGTATCGACTTCTGCAAGTTCATCTTTGGTATCTACAAAATAAGCTTCTTCAGCGGTATGCTGCTGCTGCTTTGTATCAGCATCGACCGCTATGTAGCCATCGTCCAGGCTGTGTGTGCCCACCGCCACCGCGCCCGCGTGCTTCTCATCAGCAAGCTGTCCTGTGTGGGCATCTGGATCCTGGCCACGTTGCTTTCCGTCCCAGAGCTGCTCTACAGCGGCATCCAGAGGAGCAGCAGCGAGCAAGCCTGGCGATGCTCTCTCATCACCGAGCGTGTKGAGGCTTTGATCACCATCCAGGTGGCCCAGATGGTGATTGGCTTCCTGGTGCCCCTGCTGGCCATGAGCTTCTGCTACCTCGTCATCATCCGCACCCTGCTCCAGGCGCGCAACTTCGAGCGCAACAAGGCCATCAAGGTGATCATCGCCGTGGTGGTGGTCTTCATCGTCTTCCARTTGCCCTACAATGGGGTGATCCTGGCCCAGACGGTGGCCAACTTCAACATCACCAGCAGCACCTGCGAGCTCAGCAAGCAGCTCAACATCGCCTATGACGTCACCTACAGCATGGCCTGCGTCCGGTGCTGCGTCAACCCTTTCCTGTACGCCTTCATTGGTGTCAAGTTCCGCAATGACCTCTTCAAGCTCTTTAAGGACCTGGGCTGCCTCAGCCAGGAGCAGCTCCGACAGTGGTCTTCCTGCCGGCACAYGCGGCATGCCTCCATGAGCATGGAGGCCGAGACCACCACCACCTTCTCTCCCTAGGCAGCTCCTCTGCCCAGGGGAGAGGGACTTCTCTCAGGGCGAAGGGGACAGAGAGCAGATTCAAGACACCCATCCAAAAGCTGCTGAACGAAAAGCAGTTCTGGCCATTGAAGTTGACCTCAGCGTAAAAACCAAGAGTCCCAAGAGACAGCTTGACCCCAACACTAGCTACCTCAACCAAGGCTGCAGATAAAGCTGTTGTCCCCAAACCAGACATCAAAAGTGAAAGTGGCAAAACCATCTGCCCCTCGTGAGCCATAGTGACTGATGGTGGCAGGGGCTGCTGAGTCCCCTGAATGAACCTTCTTCCCAGCGAGAAAGAAGCCATCCCAGAGACTCAAGGGCAGAGGCCAGGCCTTCCAGAAAACAAGACTCTTGTCTCCAAGACCAAGATTTTGGCGAAGCTTCTTAGCCTGGTGAGAAAGGGGACAGGTCAAACCAACTCTGTGAGTCCCCTCCTCCATCTTGCTTTTCCACYGTCAGCAAGGCAACCTCCTAACTGCCCCGAGAGCACGTCTGCCCTTCCCCTGCCGCCGACAAGGAAAGGTGGGGTTCCCTGCAGGCCAGGCCGGCTGCCCCAACCTGACCAAGCCACTTTCCCAGCCAAGCTCTGCAGCAGCGATGACATAAGGTCAGGTCTCAGCTCCACGAGGATGAGAGGGGAGGACAGAAAGGTTGGAGACCAGAGAGGGTGACAGTGCTGGCTGCCAGATGAAAACTGTCCTGCTCTTCAGTTCATTAAGAGAGCAAATAAAACTTTGCTTAGAGGAAACGACAGCTTTGAAAGAAAGAGGCTAAACATTCTTTTGTAAATGGCAGATGAGTGTGTTCTTTTGCAATGTCCCACGCCCCACCTGACCGCCCCCATCCCCCTCCTCCCCATCCTCATTTCTCAGAGAAGCTCAGAAACATGAGAACACTGAGCTGTGCTCTGAGCTCATCCAGTGACAGCAGCCCAAGAAGCTGAAAGAGGGTTGAAGGAGGATAAGGACAGGATGTCCATCTTGTGAACGCCCTTCCAGAGAGCAGGAGATGGAACCAAGCCTGTGCAGTCACCAGTGAACCAGAGACTCCAATCTGAGTGGAGATTGGGAGAGACCACATTGTTCCAGTAACTTCTCTGCCTGGGAACTATCTTGACCCTCAGCTGGATCTGCGTACTAGTCGGCCTGCCCTGTGCCAGCTCAGCCTGGAAGTAGAGCCCTGACCCTTGTCAGGCCCAAAACTTGTGTTTGGAGGGAGGGCCTTTCCCTGGACTCAGAGGTCACGGCAATCTGAAGCATGGAATCTAGAATGGGACTGATGAGACAGGCTGGATGGGACCCTTCGCTGGGTGCTTAAAATCTGGGACCACCCAGGACGCTCCTTACGGGCCACTTGTTGCAATGGTCCTCGGTGGCGTGTGTCTTGATCCATTCTGAATGCAGCACTAAACTCCAGTCTGGGTCATTGTTAAATAGTAGAAAAGTGTTCCTCACAGTTCTGGAGGCTGGACAAAGGGCCTAAAGGGCACAGCAGGTTCCCTTTAGCTCTTTCATAAGGTCATTAATCCCATTCATGGGGCTCTTATAACCTCCCCCTCACGGGGGCCTCTCCCAGTAATGCCACCACTTTGAGGTTCCAACACATGGGTGGCAAAAGGACACACATTCAAACCACAGAGGTTTAGATGTCCACTGCAGAGGGTGGGAGGGAAGAACAGATGCTGCCCCATGCACAAACCAGGGGTCCATGTCACTGGTATCCTGGGCCCACCCGGAACCCTGACTTCTCCAAACCAAAGAAATCAGTCCAACCTGTGAGGTGTAGGGTGGATCTTAAAGGCCCAGCATGCACATGGCTCTGGGTCCCAGGGGGCATCTGAGGGAGGGTTGAGACCTTGGCACAAAAGATGAACCCACGGATTTTCCCAAGCCAAAGGCGCCTCCATTGGAAATGGAGCCTGCCTGGCAATGACGCCCATTCTCTGATCTCGTAATCACATGACATTACCCTCCTCCGCAGGACGCATGGGGCTGGGAGGTTTCTAACACGATTTGTCAGGCTGCCTCCAAGCCGGGAACTGGCGCCCTACAGGAATGAGGCTGGCACAGGGGCAGTCAGCATACAGCGGTGTCGGCGGCAACGGCATTAAATATTAAAAGGTGCAGCCGCAACCGAGTGTGCGAGTGTGCGTGCGTGGGTTGAGAAGGCGATGCCATTGTGCACRTGTGTCCCCAAGGGGAACCTGCCCGAGCGTGTGTGGGGGTGTATATCCTAATGAGGTTACAGATGGGAAAACAGTCCTCCGTTCCTGCAGGGAGGAATGTAACAAGAGCCGTCACGGAAAAGGAAGCCCGGCCAGCCCCACAAACACGCCACCCCAACTTCAAATACATTTTTCTAGAATAACTGGACGTCTCCAAATATTTACAGAGACAACAAAACCCCCAAACTGCTGTGTCTCAGAGCTTCAGACCCCAGCCCCATGTGGGCCCAAACCCCACCCCTTACCCAGGGCTCTCGTGAGCCTACCTTGTGTTTGGGGATAACCCCTGGGAAAAAGGAAAGGACCCCCCAGGAGGCCCACCCAGGGCTTCTCTCTCTCTCTCTCTCTCTCTCTCTCCCTCCCCCCACCACCTTCTTCTGCTTCATACAGCTATCCTGCCTTCCTAGGTTTACAGTCCCCAGGGCCCTTCTACGGCATCCTGAAGTTTGCCTTCATTCCAGCTCCTTGTCCCCCTCGCCCTCCCTGGCTACAGCCACAGGCCAAGTCCAAGGCATTCCCAGGTCATGGAGCTGCCCTTTCAGCTAGAAGCACCCCGTCTCTCCATCACAGCTTCACAGAGCTGGAAGGGACCTCAACGTTCGGCAAGGCCAACCCCCGTCACTCTCTGGATGGTGAAACTGAGGCCCAGAGGGAGGGGCCGACATTCCAGGRGAGAGATCACAGCTCAGGGAGATTGCTTAAACTCACTTTGGGAGGAGGGTCTGGCAGGACTGCTGGAGGGTGGGGGGAGCCGAGGCTCTGGAGCCCAGCCAACTTCAAATCTCATCTCTATTGCTCCCCAGCTGTGTGACCTTCAGCTGTTGCTCAACTGCTCTGAGTCTCAGATTTCTCAGCTGCAAAATGGACAAGATTGGGGTAAACATGTAGCACAGTGCCCGGAATGTTGAGCGTGGTGGTGGGGAGCTCGGACTCTTGCAGTCAGACAGTCTGGTTTGAATCCCAGCTCCACTGCTTGGGCTGGTCACTTAGCCTCTCCGTGCCTTGTTTTCCTAATCTGTATAATGGGATTATTAGTAGTATTGACCTCCTAGGGTTGTGATGTGAAATAAATTATTCATATAAATAAAATGTTGTTGGGTGTCACTTAGGAACATTTAAGAAATGACAGCTTTAAAAAAAAAAAAAGAATACTGCTAACCTCGAGGTAACCAAGTTCAATCAATCCTTAGCCCAATTTCCAATCTCATACAATTAATGACAACTTTGGGATTAGTAGTCTGGCCTTCCCACCAAGCTATCCAGGTGAGACAAACAAGCTTACCTGAGGTCTACCAGAAGCTCTTGGCAACACTAGACCTGAAACCCAGGTCCCATCCAGAGCACATCCCATGAGAACTAGCGGCACTAGCTCCAACATTCCTGCACCACTACCTGTGACCTGCCTCTACTTCCTGGCAGGCACCCTTCCTTAAGGAAAACCTCTCTCACCCCCTTAAATAGTTCCGCCCTTGTTGTGGAGTCTGAGAAAATGAATGGAATATAGCAGCAGACCCATAGGAAATCAGGCAACGGATTCCCCACCTGGTGCTGGGGAATGGAACCCAGGGCCTCATGCATGCTGGGCAAGCACTCAACTACCGAGCTACCCCTGATCGTAAGAAAGGAAGCGAGGYTATCTTCCCCAGGACTTAGGTACTTGGTTGCATTTCTGTGTTGAGGGGTACATGGAAGGAAGGAAACAGCCCTTGGAGAGGGGTGGGAGCTTAAGCCAAAGGAGATGAGGGAGGGAAGTGATTCTAACTGGGGACAGGTGGGGCAGGGCTGGGTCTAGGGGATATATGCTGGGACCCCAATGTGGAAAGTGTCTTCAGCGGGTCAATGGATGTCCCTGTGTACACACACACATGTGCACATGCTCACACGTGCATAATTTCCCCAGGCCTCCCAATCCCAGAGRGGGGAAACAGGGGGATACGCAGAGAGAAGGGTCAGAAATAGCCAAGTTTCCCAGTCTGAGCCCCTAGAAAGCCTCAGGGGGAAGAAATAAGGACCCTCTCCCTCAACTCAAAAAAGCAGCACTGTCAGGCACCAAAACCATGAACGTCCAGCCCCCACTCCATGGGTGCAGGTGCCTGAAGGGCCCCAGCTACCCTGTGGCCATCCCAGAGTGGCTGTGCCAGTTCCAGGGCCCAGCCAGAGACTCACACAAGGGCTCTGCCTGCAGAAAAGACTCCTGGCCAGAGCTGCTTAATCCATCCTTGGCCCCTGCAGCTGGCCCTGCCCAAACTCAGAAACAAGAGAATGTGAATTCCCCTTGGGCTCCTCTCTCTGGGTTGGTGAGTGACCAAATTCAGACATCTCTGTTGTCAAGTCCTTCCTCTCCCGAGGGTGCTTCAGGGATGGCTATAATCTTATTTTGCTCTATTGTCCACAAATCCCAGGGGCTTGGCTGGCAGGACTGTTCTAAATGTCACACACAGTTTGACCTCCAGGTTCTCAGCTCAGGGTAAATAAGCACCTCCCTGCACAGTCTGGGAGGGGTCAGCCTGGCCAGGTCCTGTCTGGCTCCACTCCCTAGTGAGGCAATAGGTCCTGAGGACAGATGCCCAAGTCCACTAGACGGAGGGCAGGTAAAGCAACTCCCCGCCCTGAAGTCCTCTGGAGCCCATGTCAGAGCCTGCCTAGGACAGTTGAGTTTATATTTGTTCTGGGTAAATATCTGACATTATGACGTTCAGCAGATGCTGCCGATGACATGCCCCCAAACCCTTTCCCGATGTTTCAAAAGAATTTGGAAACACGAGCACATTTGTCTTGCAGAGTTTATGCAACAGCACTCGGGTGACCGAAGCAAAAACACGATCACATGCAAAGACTAAGTGGTGCCTTCCTCTTCCCAGGCCTGCAGGGGGTTTTCTGTGGCCTGGCTACTAAGGCCTGTGGTCAAGCCAGGCACTAGGGGGCCACCCTCA